CTGGCGAAACAATCCAACAGTAGTATGTTGCGGCTGCGCAATTACTCGTGTTGTACTTGCCCGACCGCCTCTACCTTGTCGTGGTCGTTTGCGCAAATGGCCACACAGTCGAGACCGGGGGGGGGGGACAGGGGGTTGTTGTTGTACCCTGTTACTATGTGCATCTCCTCTCACGCGGCGCTCCCCCTCTCCGAAAGAACTGCGCGGTACGTCGTGCCACTCAAGGCCCCGTCCCGCCCCAGTCCTCAGTATAACCGGCACGGATACAGCTGCGGACACTCCACAAACCAGGTATGCTGAGGACATACATAGCACTCTGGGCTAGCTGCTGTTGTTCGCCGAGTACCTACTTTCCTGGACATAGCGCTGTGCTGCTTGTCGATACCAATATCCCTACCAAAAATAGTCCGGCTGTGTTTGCCGCCCTCTCTCTATCCATGTGTCTTGTATTTCGTCATTCGAGCTCCTCGGGTGTTTATGCTCTCTCCTTGTATCTCTTGCTCTCGTAAAAAGCTCGATCTCTCCATCCATCTTCCTTCTCCCTTTCTCCCTCCCTCTCTCTAGCTTCAGTCGTTCCCTCTACCTACCCTGTCTCTTTGTCTTCATTTTCTGCCATTTCGTCCCATCCCTCGTATAACTCACATGGTTCCCCCCAGCAGCTGAGCGTTGAGTGTCACCAGGGCTGCCCCACACCACACCACGACAAAAACCGCCGCGAACACTAGCGCTCCCTGGTCCGCTGGGGCCGAAACGCTAAGGACGATCGACAGCGTCAGGCACACCATCAGCGGTCCCCACAAGTCCCCTGGCGACGAAAAAGAGCAGTTTTTAAGGGGCAAGTGGTGGCAGTCAGTATCGTCCACCAGACCACGCCTGGGCGTGCCGCCGTAAGCATGCATATGCTCGCACTGTTCAATAGCCAGGGCACGGGGAGTTTCCTGTTTTGGCCCATCATCCAGCAGGGGGGGGGGCGGGGTTCACGTAGTCTCTTACTCACTCAACGTTTTTGCCCTTCCCTCCGTCGAGGCCTGGTCCGGTGAGAACCCGGCGTGCTCCGTCCCGGCTTTGTAGGGATGCGAGGTCAATGGTCTAACGACTACGGCATGCACGACTATGAGTACACCCCCCCCCGTCGAGGCCGTCGGCAAAACATCTCACCGAACGTAGCACAGTTAGGGGTGCCAATCGGGGCGATTTTGGCGGCAAAAAAGTGACCGGTCTATTCGAGGATTTTGAGAAAAAAGGGGGGGCACGCGGATTTTTGGTTCTCAACTCAGCTCTTGAAAATCATACGATTAAAGTATGCTCGTTCTTCCGAACTTTCGTTCAAGTGGCTCTGCGTCCAGGCAGCGGCGCGGCTCTTCATACTTTACACACATCTGGACACAGGTCCTACAGAGGTGACTGTGGATTCGCTTTTTTCGGAAGTTCAAAGGTCTGAGAGAACGGCTTGAAAAACATACATTTTTCAGATGAACGCCCCAGTGCCCGACGCTGTGGTGCGCAAGTCGAAGAAGCAAATCCGCAGCGCACCTCCTTGGGTTTTGAGCCACCCCACACAAAAGACCGATCAGGAATCGCAACTACCAAGAACGAGTACCACTTGACAGAAAGTGGCCCCTCCACCTGACTTTTTGCCCGCCAGCGGCCCCTCGCTCAAAAAAAAAAATCTCCGTAATCAGCCGTCACGTTTTCAGAAAAGCTCAAGGAGCGCGAGCGTGTGATGTCCCAACGCCACCACCGCAGCACTCGAGGCTAGCCAGTTGTCTCAAGCGTGGTCGGCAGGCGCTAGTTGCATCTATAGCTGGCCCTGAGGCTTGTACACCGTTGCTCGAAAGGAGGATGTGTGACGGAAAAACCCTCCANAGGTCGGAGAGAACCGCTTGAAAAACATACATTTTTCAGATGAACGCCCCAGTGCCCGACGCTGTGGTGCGTAAGTCGAAAAAGCAAATCCGCAGCGCACCTCCTTGGGTTTTGGGCCACCCCACACAAAAGACCGATCGGGAATCGCAACTACCAAGAACGAGTACCACTTGACAGAAAGTGGCCCCTCTACCTGACTTTTTGCCCGCCAGCGGCCCCTCGCTCAAAAAAAAAATCTCCGTGATCAGCCGTTACGTTTTCAGAAAAGCTCAAGGAGCGCGAGCGTGTGATGTCCCAACGCCACCACCGCAGCACTCGAGGCTAGCCAGTTGTCTCAAGCGTGGTCGGCAGGCGCTGGTTGCATCTATAGCTGGCCCTGAGGCTTGTATACCGTTGCTCGAAAGGAGGATGTGTGACGGAAAAACCCTCCAGCGGCAGTTTTTCAACCGATTTTTTGGGTCTGGGAGGGAGCATTTGTTTTGGGAGGAGGGTAAGGCCCACCATTGCGCATCCAAACGAACTCTAAAGACACCGAACAAGCATGCCATCCGCTCTCGGCGCGAGGATGAGTTAGGTTCCGCTAGGATGCGCGGTGAAAGCAAGTCCTGGTGCGTAGGAGAGAGCACGGGGCAAAGCAGGGCAAAAAAAAAACCCGAGGGACTTCGGAAATGCACACACACGCACAGGATCTGACGTGCAGGCTAAACACAGNTGGGTCTGGGAGGGAGCATTTGTTTTGGGAAGAGGGTAAGGCCCACCATTGCGCATCCAAACGAACTCTAAAGACACCGAACAAGCATGCCATCCGCTCTCGGCGCGAGGATGAGTTAGGTTACGCTAGGATGCGCGGTGAAAGCAAGTCCTGGTGCGTAGGAGAGAGCACGGGGCAAAGCAGGGCAAAAAAAAAAACCGAGGAAGTTCGGAAATGCACACACACGCACAGGATCTGACGTGCAGGCTAAACACAGCTCGCGAAACATGCTAGTGCCGAGCAACTGGCTAGATCTTCGTCGTGGGTTGGGTTCTCGGCCAACATGTTGCTGTTTGTCTTTGTTTTGTTGATCGCGCGGGCTGCGTAGCTCATAGCTCGCTCCCCCCTTTCAAACAAGGAACCGGTCTGATGAAGTGTGATTGGTTAATGTGGTTCTCTGAGAACTTCCAGAAGTGAAGATCCAAGTCACTTTTTTGAATTTTTTCCTATAGGAAATTTGACGGATTGGCACCCCTAACAGTTCCTGGCATCACCTTTACCATGGAGGCACTCCTAACGAAAGGGGTCGGAAAAAATCTTGACGAGGCAGCACAACATAGATGTATGATAGCGGCCGATCGAATTGGCATTTGAACACACCAAAATGCCTGATGATGACACGATGTGCCACCTTCATTGGGCCCGCTCGCTCTATCATTTGGCGAGACATACTCGGGTACAGGCATCCCCAGGCAATCACGACATCAGGGCACACCACAGGACAAGAGCAGACATGAGTCTGTGATCAGCAGAGAAAGTGATTTCCGAGAGAAAAGTGGAACTAGTAGCTCGACGTGCCAAACCTGCAAGCAGCCGCACCACCTCATGCGACTCATAAAGTTTCGCGACACGGCGAGGGGAAGACTGGCTCAAGTGGCACGCGCACCCCAAGGGCCGTGCTGCCGCACAATTATGAGGCCATGCTACCGTATTCGGGCACGAACGTGGGGTGTTGCGGGCTGAGGGTAGGTACGATGGTCCGAAAAAACAATCAGAGAGGCCTTGTGAGTTCAAAGGGAGGCTGCACGGCACTCACAGTCCTTGAGCTTGGTGAGCACCCCGTCTTGGTCTCCCCTGGGGTTGAGGACGATCTTTAGCTTAGCTCCCACGGATCGCAAGTCTCGCATCTGAAAACGACCGTCGATGGCGACAAGGGACAGCAAGTTTGGTTGCTGAGTCGCTGTTGTTCTGTTGTTGTTGTTGGTGGTGGTGGGTGCTTGGTGGTTTAATCCTGTTTCTTCGTTGGCTTCATACGATGATTAGTGCCTTACCCAAGCGAACACCTCAGCTCTTCCGCGTTGCGAACGGATGCTGCACAGCCCGAAGGGCGTGCGGTCGAGCGTCTACTCAAAAGTGGCTGTAAGCCGCCTCCGCACCGCTTTGAGCTCTTCGTTTCGGAACCACAGACGATTGTTCGCATTGACGAGGGGGCAAACACATGGTTGTCAACTGTTGGCGTACTATAGCCCTTGGCTTCCAAAACAAAATGTGACACATATGTCCGGCACGGTGTATTCCTGCTGCCCTCGAGCATACATCATGCCACGGAATGAAACGTACGCCTCGTAACAACACGACCCACACGACGTGAGCGGGTCTGCTGGGAAAAAACAACGCGAACACAAGCGAACACAGCAGTAGATAGCTGTCCGTGGGGTAGGGTTGAGGTCCGTTGGACGGATACCCGTCTACTTGGCGGGCATGCCCGGCTCTCGAAATACCCGAACCGGGTTCGAGCCTCACCTCCCGAACATAGCCGGGTACCCGGGTAGGCCGGGTATCCGAATAACCCGGGTAACCGGCGGGGCTCAACCCTACCGTGGGGTCCCCCCACCCCCACTACGAAAATTGCACGGCTATGAGTACACCCTCCCCCCGAAAAGTGGCTATCTCCTTTCTTACGGTGAACTCTCCCCTGCCCTATAGGGCGTATAGAGCGCAACATCATGCCAATATCATCGTGGCACATGCGTAGATCGTAGACGGTCCGCATGTGAGTACAATAATGCGATCGTACCCGTACCCAAGCATTTACCAACCGAAACTAAACCAGTCAGCGATGACTGATCCAATGGTGTGATATCGGTTAATGAGGCCGTAGGGCATGCACGATGGGCAGGCGTGGAGACTGCACAAACAAATACAACGACCAAATCGTTGGATGGTGCAGGCTGACTTGCAGTACAGCGGGGTGTCCACGAAAAAGGCGGTGGTGGGGCAGCTGAAAATGGTCGCCATACAATGGGGCAGATACCGTATTCAATGTGTAGAACAACTTGATTGTTCCGGCCAGGCCAGTTCTTTCACCATCTACAAAAAGGGCGACCTGCACATCCAGACCGCTTTATTCGGGGACCGTCGCTTAAGCACACCCCGAGAAGAGGGTGCGGGAAATACCAAGCGTAAACTATTCCAATGATGTGACGCTCACAATGGTTTCGGAGACTGGCTCATCCAGCGTGTTCATCATGCTCTGCGGCGTTCGTTCTGCTGTTTGCATACCTGTGTGCGAAAAAAAGGAGGCGAGGAGCGTACGAAAAGGAGGCGAGGAGCGAAAAGGGGGAGTGGGGGATTCGACAAATCCTGCTATGTCGCAAACATGTTCCCGCAACACTTAACAACAGTCCGTCTACATGTCAGATGGGCTCCAGTTAGATAATCACGTGAATGTTGTGTGTAGCAGGCGTAGGTTTACACTATCTACAGGACAAGTCGTTGGGATGTGGTAGACATACGCATATGCATACGACCAACAACACAAGCTACGGACGGTAAATTTACAAAGGGTTCTGCCGCGGTTTTCTTTCAGAAGTAAATGCTCGTATCCCATAAACAACATTCTGGAACGGCGGTGCTGCGCTGCACACGGCATTGTCGATCGTGGGGTGGGAAGCTGCTGACATGTGAGACGGAAGCAGGATACTATAGGTACACGCATGTCATGAGTTTCTGACTCTGAAGCTCGGTCGGTTAGGTCTCACGCTTGGTACAAGTACAGCCGGCCGAACTCTGTTGTACGCAGCGTTGACATGCCGCAGGCTGTTATAGCCAAAGCCATGTGCAGCACTGCAGAGAACTCGCTTGCCCGCTGTAGGCGCCGCGGTCACCTGTAGTTCTGTCAGTCGGTTACTTCGCGCTGCGCTGTTCTTGTGTCTATAGCAATCCCAATGCTAGCAAGAGCAGAGCCCCAAGGGCTTGCACATTCATCAAGTGTGTTGTAGCTGAAAAAACTGTTATCTATCGGGTTATGCTGTTGCGTATCCTCGCGTGTGTTGGTCTTGCCCTCAGAGCCTATAAGTACTCTGCTGTGTGTAACGACCCGCCTGCCGCTGCTGCCACAGAGCCTCTGTCCGGAAAACGTCCGGTTCAAAATTCTGCACACACCCCAGCACGAAAAAAAGGTGTGAACCCTTGCATACGCTTGTACCGCAATCTACCACACGAGCCCTCTCTGCTCTCTCCCTATCTCTCGCTTGACCCTCGCATAACTCTTGGACCACGGCATAGTCTGATAAGACTGCGGTAAGTCCCAACACACGCTGTTCTCACTCCAGATATGCCGCAATAGATGCTAGTTGGAACAACAGGTTTTAAACTCACCGATGCCACCATCAAACTCTGCCATTCCCATCGCTTCCGCCATCTTCGCTTGCGCACGCTCCCCTGCGAGAGTTGTTTTCTATGTGTCGTATACGCAGCACGGAGAGGTGGCTGCCCTGTTTAGACACGCACAGCTGTGCCCGTGACCGTGAGGTTTGGGGGGTCAACAGCTGGCTGAAGGTTCAGGTGCGCCTAGATATCACGGAGCCACCTGAACCACACATGCACATCCACATCTATGATCTCGAGGCTTCCTGTGCTGGAGACAGTGTGAATGAAGAGAGGTCAAGAGATCCTTGTTGGCGTGGGTGACTCGAGCTTCTGCCAAATTCCGTGCCCGTGGGCGTCTTGGAGTCGCCAGACAGCAGATGAGAAAGGCAAGAGCCACGGCAGCAGCAGCAACGATGATGTCTGCCGCGTTCAAACCAAGATATCGCAGATAGCGTGCGGCGCGACTACCTGTCTTGCTGCCGTGAACAACAACAACAACAACAGCAACCGCAACAACAATAACAGCAGCGCGATCGATCCCGCACCTCCGGCTTACCTTCTGGAATGGGGTACTGGCCTTTACGGCGAAAGGCTATCCACGGAAACGTCTGTACCACAGCAGGGAGACGAGCGAAACCAAGAGTCGTTTTTGAATCACCCCGCACCTGTGGCGTTCTCGAGCTTGCCGTTGGGGCTCCGCAGCAGCCCTCCGGCGATTCGATACATCGCGTGCGGCGCACATTTCGTCGTGGCTTCTCTGGAAAACGGCGGTTGCATCTCGTGGGGTGGCGGTCGAGAGGGGAGGAGGGCCCTTGGGCGAGGGAGCTGCGGCACTTGTGGCCAGTGTCATGACGGGTCAACCCCGGCGGCACGACCGCTATCCTACCCCAGCAGCAGCAATCCCGACTGGGTAGCAGAACCGCTGGGATTGGGAGGTTCGAAGGTGGCCGACTTAGCGGCGGGGGACGATCATGTTATCGCTGTCGGCACGGACGGGTGCGCGTGGGCTTGGGGCCGAGGAGATTGTGGGCAGCTCGGCTACGGTTCTCCCGATGGTGTGGATTATGATGGTGGCGGTAGCGCGTGTGTGCCGATGGCTGTCCAACTACCATCACCGGCGAGCGGCACTCCTCTAGATGAAGGTGGCCTTGCAAGCACTTCTTCTGGTGCTGCTGGTGCTGCTACTGGTGCTGCTACTGGTGTGAAGTCGGGTCACGGCTTGCAAGACCCGCGAAAACGTCCTGGAGCACTTGTCATACGAGCTGCCTGCGGTCGAGATCACAGCGCCATCATTACAAACGATGGCCGGATCTGGACTTTCGGGAGCGGGCTTCACGGGCAACTGGGCTTGGGAACTGTAGGCGAGACATCGTCGATTCCCACCGTGGTAGACGCGTTAATAGGGGTAGGAACCATGCGACCGGACGGCTCCTTTACCGGCATGGAGACTGTGGCGTGCGGTGCGTGGCACACAGCGGCTCTGTCGACGACGGGAGACGTGTACACCTGGGGATGGGCACGTTTTGGGTAAGTAGGTTTGAGAGATTTCCAATGAAAGATGCTATTCGTCGAGCTGCTGAATAATCTGCTCCGTGTCGACTACCGACGCGCTCTTCAGCGGGTACCTTCGAACGTGATGCCTAAACGGTAGACCCCTCATTATTCCCTGCACCCCAGACCCTCGCCGCAAGCAGTCGACGGAAGCAAGGGTTCGGCTAATCTCGCCAAGGGCAAGCAACACCAAAGCAGTAGGTGGTCCATCCTTCAACAACGGTACCACAACAGCAGTTGCCGAGGGGTTTAGTTGCAGAACGTACACCTAAAGCACCCAACGACCTGTTTCTCTCATCTCCGAATGCCATCTCACCCCTGTGGGGGGCAGTTGGCTTGTGACCACGGAAGGCGTCCGCGTCGGTTGGACCAGTACGGACATTAGAAGGTACTGAGTGGAGACCGGAACGGATTTTTAATGTGAAGACAACAACAACAACAACAACAACAACAACAACAACAACAACAACAACAGCAACACCGCTTGTAGACCCTCATTTGCCTCGGCTTCGGAATCTCGTTTTGACACACGATAGGGCGTTAGGACCTTCGCCTTTAGTGGCCGGTTTCCACCGCCGGCCGCAACAAGACACCACCGCCTCCGTCATCGGGGATAGTGCTACAATCAACGACAGCGGTGCAAGCCCGGCAAGTGGCAAGAGAAAGCTCGAAACAACAAGCTCTACACCAGCAGCAGAGGAAGGTGAAGTTCGACCGTATCCTGGCCTCGTGGACGGGATGGATGATATTTTGGCAGACGATGACGACCAGCTCGTGTCCGTCTCTTGCGGCGCGCGGTACACCCTAGCAACGTCGAGCAAAGGTAGGGCGTTCGTGTGGGGGCAAGTGGCGCCGCCTTTACAGCAATACGGCGGACGGGGCGGCGGGGAGCAGAAGGGCGGAGATGGCAGTAGCGTCAGAGGTATCGACACGGGTGACAGGAAGGGGCCTCCACTTGGGCCTTTCTCAGTCCCGAGAGAGATGAAACCCGCGGATCTTCTTCAGGATGCTGCACCGTCGAACTCACAGACGGACGAGAGAAGGGAAGGTCGGTGTTACTGCGAGGTCGGCTCCCCAAGAGGAGTGCGGGCAGGGGCTGTCGACAAAGGGGATTCGCGTTGGAAGGTGTCGACGGTTGGATGTGGGCCTTGGTTCGTTGTATTCGGACTCCAAGAGGAAGAGCGGCAATGCTAAGTAAAGAGGGCCAAAATCAGAGGCGGCAGTTTGGCCGTGAATGGGCGAGGACGCAGAGATCACCTTTAGAGGACGGTATCCCTTTCCCTCTCTTTGGCGACGACCCAACAAGATGGAGCCGTCGTTTTTTTGAGTCCCGCAGCAGGAAAACAAATGCTTGGTTCTATACACAGCGGGCTGAGAACAACATGGGGACCTTGTGTCAGTCTGTGGGATTGAGGCTGGGTTTGTAGCCCACGACACACAGCAGCGCCGGCTCATCTACTGACCATCTAGACGCCAAAAGAAAAGGGTATAGAGACGCCAGGACTGTGGTTTTTTGTTTTTTCCGTTGCCCAGTTATCAATATTCTCGTTTCTCCAAACTAGGACCATGTTTCGCTGTGGAAAGACTAGGGCATTCGGATCGCTACATACGAGGGCAGACCTCCTGTAGGCTTTTCTAGCACAGCTAGACAGCAGAAGACGCTGCAAGAGGCATGGCTCTCCTGGAAGTTCACCAGCACGTTACGTGGTTTATCCCTTGGCGATTCTAGCCGACAAATATCTCGTTTGGGAAGGAACATCGCCCATCGCCAGAGCAATTGCATGAAAATTCCGTCCATTGCGCAGGGCGAACACTTCCCCACCACCACCACAAGCAAAGCCCCGAGGACCTACAGCAATCACAAAACGCGCAGGCAACACCCCGGATGCACAAGGTCAAACCCCAAACACACTTTAGTCGGCATCTACTATCGTAATGAATATGTTCCTGTTTCCGTACAACACCTGTTTCCACTTTCGACACGCTTTATACAGTCGCCCGACACCACCAAACACTCGCCGCATAGAAGACGTTTGATCCGCAAGTATCGGCGATAGAAAATAAAATTGCAACTCCAACGGGCGGTGAGCAGCACTGTCTCCCTGCTCTTCATGCCGGCTAATAGCGGTGCACCTTCAACTTTGCCCGTGATTGGCAAAGGGCTGAAGAATCAAAAGGCGAGCCAAGGCAAATCAATTGTCCAAACACGAACTCCAAACGGGACGTGGCCAACCCGTCATGCACAAGGGGACCATAATACACCACGGGGGACGTCGTGAAGTGGTGCACTAATTACGACCCAAAACACCAAAGAGTACGGCAGAGCACAGAGGCCTTGACGCCCACGAGCAGGCATCTGGAAAGCATAAGAGGGGAATAAAATCATCGCGCACAAGCCTAGACTGTTGTGGCGGGCTTGAAAATGTTGAACCCATCTGCCGCAGTGCTCATGATCACTCCCGGAATCTGAGGGTGAAAGTGTAGCTCCTTGATGTCCGTCTGTCCCTGGTGAATGAAAAGAAGCTGCGGTGGTAGATCCTTTAGCCCGCCTGCCGCCCCGCCCCCGCCAGCTCCCGCCATTCCCGCTGCCGCTTCGTCATCCGCCTCCACTGACAAATCCCACACCGTCAACTGGTTGTCTGCCCCCGATACCGCCAGCATAGATTCATCCGTTGGGTGCCACTCGATGGACGTTATCGGAGCCTGTGTTTTTTTAGGGGTAGGGGGTGATGTGAAGATTTGATTTCGAGACAACTGAAGACACCTGGGCGTTGTGAAAAGAGTGCTGCTGCTGTGATGTGTCTACCACCAGTACATGGCACAACGTCTTGATCGCACAAACGGCACCAGTGTTGTCTGATGCGACAATGCTGGTTGCTCGAACAGACAATGGGGACATCCTGAGCGATGCTCTAGACACTTGCAAGCCGCAACAGCCAGAAGAGGTGAGGCCAAAAAGAAATTAAAGCATATGCCACACCCCCGTCGCTTGTACCTTCCATACCACACAACAGTCAAGACCCGCTCATTTGCACCACATGACCCAATAGAAGCAGGCACAGCGCAGCACCAACCATGAAACCGCCGCACCGCACCTTATGCCATCGGAACTGCGCAACAGGCTCCCCGCTCCCAAACGCCCGGAGGTCCCAGATCTTGAAGCTTCCGTCGTCCGAGCCCGACGCCAGGAGGTACGTAACGTTTCGGTTCCACGTGATGACGTTTACGTCTTCCTCGTGCGCCTTGAGGCTGAGCATCGCCCCGTTCTTCTTGCGGAGGTCCCAGACCGCCACGGTCTTGTCGGCCGAGGCGGAGGCGAACACCTGTTCGTTGATGTCCGCCCCAAAACAGGTAAAAATCGGAGAAAAATTGAATTAGCCATTAGGGCACATCTGTTGAGTCAACACTATGTCGGAGGACACAGAAGAGAGATATCACAACACCAATAGCCGCCACGGCCTGTTCCAGTAGACGCAATGCACGGCAGCACATGAGTCCATTTCGCTATGCATAACTTCGCCACTGCCAAGCGCCAAATCTATACTAGTAGAACACACGAATAATGACGCAATCGGGTCTCGGGGATGACGTTGCAACAGACTGCTGTACCTGTTCGACGGTAAACGCATCACGCAACAACAACAATCAGCTTGCGACATTGATGCTAGCCCCCAAACACTAGGTACGTAGCTGTTGGTGATTCATACCGTTGTCTCCGTTGGGCTCCACTGGAGGTCTTCCACTGATGCGACGTGCCCGACGAACGGTACGGGGTCCGTTACCCAGCCCCCCTCGACGGTTCGGGTCACGTGCACGCTGTTACCGCAGTCGCCCGTCGCTAACCGTCCTTCTTCTGTTGGCGACCAGTCTAACGCAAAACCCTCCTGCACACGGTAGCCAGACAGGGGCGAAGGGAGGTGTTATCCAAATGGCGTTCCCGGCTTGTTGTGAGTGATCGGACCCACCGGCTTGTTGTGAGTGATCGGACCGAGCATCCCTTTCGAAGCAGAGCGCCAATGTTCCTACTCCGAACAAAGATACTACCAACAGCAGTTGGTCCTCTTTCGTGTTATTCGATATACGGGCAACAACCCTTATCCTATCCTCTTTCCCGCATTCCCGCGCACCCCATCATGGAGAAACTCTCAACAACACGCGACCCCTAGCCCTATCCAGACTCTTTCTCCAACAGTAGCACTCGCCTCCATGTGCCCATCGAACGTGAAGGCCGGATCCACCTTCGATTTTCTCGGCGCACCTGCGTCGTTCCGTGTGTTCACACGGACATTAAAACATAGCCAGCGGGGACCGGGCTCAAAGTTTGGCCCAATACGACAGTACCTGGGATATCGGCAGTGTTGGAAATAGTAATAAAAACGACAACGACCGCCTTCTAGGCCGTATCAATCGTGCCTCTGGCCAACCCCACTCATGCATCTGGTTGTGCGTGCAGGTCTATTGGAGGCAAATAAAAAAGATCTCAAATAAATCCTGCACATGAGTGCGGGCGGCGCACTCACGGCCGGCGCGTGCGAGCGGCGCACTCACTTCCGGCGCGTACACACGCGCTCACTCACCTTTTGCCGCGAGGGCAGACACCTGCTCCTGGAGGTCCCACACGTGCACGTCCGACGTCTCCGACCAGGTGGCCACGACACCCGGGCGCTGCGGCATCGACCGCACGCGGTTCACCCCGCCCCGGTGCGGGATGTTGATGTGGTCCAGGGTCGGGTCATCGTCGGTCTCGTCCTCCCCTTCCTCGTCTGACGACTCGTCGTCATCGTCGTCGCTGCCGTCGCCGCGTTGCTTTTTTCTGCCCGTGCGGTGAAGATCCGAGAGCTTCATGACCTGGATAGATAAGAAAGGAAGCGCGTGTGTTGGAGCTCGGGGTCGACATAAAATACTCGTCGGGCCTTGGGGCCGTATGCATGCACGTCTGCATTCGCCTTATCAGTCGTTTGTGAGGTGAGGGGAGAGGAGGGGAAGATGAAATAGAGAGAGATTCGGTAAGCTTTGCTCCTGGTGGTTTACGGCGCTACTGGAGTTCACCGACAAGAAGATACAGCCGTGAGCTTGACCGCTATGCAGCTACCCTGCTGGGACCATCACCCCATTGCTTGTGTACGCTCCTCACAGCAGTCAAGGAGAAACAGCAGTGAAATTGACAGCTACGCAGCCCCCCGTCAACACAGGACGGCAGGGAACATAAAGCACTTGAAACAGGGACCCACTAATACACCTGTAGGCGGTTGTTGTCGGCGCGGTCGGCCTGGGTGCCCGCCACGGCAAACACGGTGTGGGGATAGCGGGAGCGGTTCGCACCCAGGCTGTCTCGTATCACGTCGAAGCTGAGGCACGGCCACTCCGGTCTCAGCGAATGGTACATGTGGTAGGCCGTGCTGTCGTACTCCAGCTCATCCCCTTCTGCCAGCTCGTCCACGCCGGCTCGCCACACCTTCGTCTCTTGTGGCGCTGCAGCTCCCTCAGCGTCCGTGGCGGCGGTGCTGGAGCCACTTGCTGCAGCGTCTCCCGTCTCTGCGTCCATGCCACCATCATCGTCGTCGCCATCTTCTTCCGGCTCTGCATTCATGGCGTCGATGTCTTCCGGGTCAAACTCATCCCCGAACGGGTCTTCGAACACGAGCTCCTCCTCCTCCTCATCCTTACTGCCGTCACCGCCGCCACCAGTGGTAGCATGCGGCGCAACCTTTTTCGCCGTCGAGGTCGCCGCGTCTTCACCGCTTCGCTGTCGCTTTGAGGTAGACTGGGACGTCGGGGAAGCTGGAGAAATGTCCACCTTCCTCGGAGTGACCGCCTTGCTGCCTGCTGTCTTCTTGCCCATGGTGCTGTCAGGCTGGGGAGCTGGGGAGGTGGTTGGATGCGACGATGGCTGTGGGCTACCAGGGGGGTACTCCGGGAGAGAAAAGGACCATACCCTGCTCTCTCGTTGGCGATATGATTCCTGTCTGTTGTGCCCCATCTGTGACGCAGCTGTCGGCTGAAACAGACGAGTAGCCCACCAGCTGCAAGCCGACCACGTCGCCCTCTCGCTTCGGAGAGGAAGGGGGCAGCACACGCCACACACACCACACATCGCGGCATCATGGTGTTGTCGAGGAATGTGGCTGTGCTCGTCGTGCTGTCGTTGTCAGCAGCGGTAGCAAGTGCCTTTGTCCCGGGTGGAAACCCGGGCGGCATGGCAAAAGCCGCTGCCGTTCAATTGGAGGGCGGCGGCACCAAGACGCCCATCAGAGCGATAACCCACCCCCGGACGAACGTGAAGGAGATTGCCAGCGTGAGCAATACGGAGGAGTTCGAGAGCTTGCTCAGGTTGGCGAGACCGAAACAGGTGGGCTTGAAAGCAAGAAAGGGGGTAACGTACCTGGCGGACAACAGAGGAAGCACTTTTATCGTCATTTGTTAATCGGCACGCAAGTTCTGAAGAGGTTGGTTGCTGCTGAAGAGACTCATTGCTCTTGTCCCTGCTGCTCCTCATTCTCACGCGGCTAACGGTAGCCCATCCGTATTTTTACCACGTGGCACGGCCATTCGAAGATTGGGTGGCACAGACTGCGCCCAATAACCCATAATAACCACAAGGACCAGTCGACGAGTCGTTGTGCTTCTTCAAATGCGACGTATGTGCTTCAATTTGGCAAACGTACTTTTGGTGCCACTTGATCAACTGATTGGCCGCCGCAGGTTGTTCACTGGAGCGTCGAGAGCGCCTCAAGGGCAAGTCCCCGCCCCCCCCACCCCCCCACCCCCGGTTGCTTAAGCGGTTGGTTTGCGATTGGCGTAGTGACCCCCTCCACGGGATGCACCCACTCTTTTGGTCGCGCACGCATGCTAGACCACGCCCGCCGTTGCCCTCTAGTCGCTCCTGTACTTGATGCAATTCCGAGTTTGGTACGAATGCAAAGTTGCTCTTCGGTAACCCTTTCATAGAACTACTATAGAATCCACAAGTGGGGGAACAAGCCCTGATCCCGGACTCAAGTGGGATGCATTGAAGCCGTTACAATAGCAGACTAGGCTTCGTGCCCGCCGGTGTGAGACAATCAACGCCTGGTCCAAGCTTTGCAACGTTGATGCAGCAGCAGCCACACCCGAAAAGTTCAGGATTTTTTTTTTTGGAAGCTCCACATCAACATCAACCCGTCCCCTCCCCCCCGGGCCGCTGGCCCCCAGATCCCCCTCCCCTCCCCTCCCTCGGTGTTTCGTTCAGTCTTAGAAGTATTTAAATATGTACATGGACTCTCATATGACCGCAGGTAATGCATTGGCGTCACACGCGAGGCGTACGTTCCCCCCCCCCCATGATTTGTTCCATTTGTTTGTTTTTTGGACTCGGGTCTTTTCATCCGGTAACGCGAGGCATTGAAGTTTAGTATACGTCCTCCTGTGGTTACCGTACTCGACGCAGACGCGAGCAACATATCTCTACAGCTCTAGTACGCGTCCGTATCTACACTTGCAAGAGTGATGGCAGGTGTGCTCGGGTCATTGACCGCGAATGGGCGCCCGTTGTAAATAGCATGGTTGTACAATACACCAGCAGGCAGCAAGCAACATTCTTCAATGAACAAATCTCGAATCTGACAAAGCTGTTTTGCAGGCAAATTCTCAACAGTATGATACCGCCACCCCGAGACATCACTTGAAGAGGATTTTGTCATCTGTTGAGGTTCCTGCGACCAGACGCAGCGAGTCGCCTCCCGTAGTCGTGCAGGGTATATGCTGCTGTAACCGCACTGCGTGGAATGAACGGGTGCGCGGCAATTGATGAGAACGGCATGTACCAGCGTCAAGAGAACTCTCGCGTTCCCACGAATTCCTGCCGTTTCGTGACGTTGTTAAGAAATGGGAGAATAACAGCATGGTGTCCGTTGTTTGGATTCGAGGACGTCGATAAGGGTCGTGGTGGTCATGGTGAACGGTATTGCACTCGCAAAAGCGGTTCGTTTTGAAGCAACATCTTGGCAGTACAAAACGACTGCTTGATTGCCGCAAGCACGCCTTTGGATATACTGCTGCCTCTTGGCCTTTTGCCACACTTCTCTTTCACAGAAAAAGAACTTCGAAGGTACACGCGTCCAGGAAAACATGCCTTCAAGTACCAATTCTGACGTCCTGAAGAATTGGGGCCACAGGCACACACACTTCTGTGGCGAAAACGTATTCTTATTCCTTAACTGGAACGCTTTTCTCTGCTCGCTGTCTGTTTTTCTTATTATTTAGGTTGTGGCGATCTGGTTCCACGCAAGCTGGTGTCGGAAATGCAAGTACATCGGTACGAGATTAAAACGCCTCGACGAGCACCTCCCGGCGTACTTATCGAACAACCTTGTGGTGAGCGAGAGATAGAGAGAGGGGCGGGATCAGAGGGAGGGAACCAAGGCGGGGAGAGAGAACGACAGATGTGATGTAGGCAAGGGTCGGAGCACACGCAACACCATGAACGACTGTAAGATTTGCTTTTTGCTTTCGGGTGCCACAGCCAGCTTTTCTGTCCCAGTGGCCTTCTCAGGGTTTTTGTATTAAGGAAACATGTTGGATGAAGCACACAGTCGGGGAAGTTGGGTTAGGGTCACGGGTCGGGAAAAGGGTCTGCGTACCCCCTCCCTGTTCTATTTCCTTATGATATTGAATTTTCCCGCCAAGGCGGTCCCATCTTTTGTACGCTTCCAGTGTGCTCGCTCTTTCTTGGTCCCTGGCGACTCCCAAGCCCCTCATGTATTGACGGCTGCTATGCATACAAGTGTGGGCAACAGAATTTGTTGATGCATTACTTCCGCCTCCACTTTCCGTCTCTCCCCAGCACAAAATCTCCTTCCGTCGTCTGCGCTCTCCCGCTCTCCTTGTTATCTGCCTTTTCTAGGTGGTGAGCATCGACGTCAACCAAGTGGCACAGGTCCCGCAGCGACAAAAGATCAAGGATCTCCCGACGATTCAGTTCTTCGTGGACGGAGGCATGGTCGGGTCGTACGTGGCCAACGACAGGGGGGAGGCGTTCTACGCGAACATGGAGAAACACTTGCGTGCGGCTCTCGGCGAAGACGTGGAGTAGTGTGCGCGCACTCGTTTTGGCCCCCTTCCACCTTTGGACCACACCTTCTTGAAACAACCTTCCTTTTGGTTGCTCGGCAGGAATTTCGTTCGTCACGGGGAAGGAGGGGGGGGGGGGGGTGTTTGATTTGATAGGGTTTGGTAGGATGTCCGCGACTATAAAGGTTGTTTGACGTCAGGAGGCTAGCCGGCTCCTTGCGCCATTGTTTCAGCGCAAGAGAGGACGGGGGGGGATTTTCCGGCCAACAATCGTCTGTGAGCATACTTGCACGGCAGTGTGCGTTGGTGATGAATAGAGGACGCAACACGAACGTCGCAAGCTGTGTAAATTTTTCATTTTTATTTGAGAAGGGAGGGACGATAGTGTTTTTGAATTTCGTATATTCATTTAGTCTAGGTTTCAAAAATAGTTTGATATTTTGTGTTGGTTCCTTGTGACCCTAGGAAGTACACGGTATCTCAAGAGTACATCGTGCCCCCAAGTATGTTGTCGTGCGTCATGCAAGTGTTGTTAGAAGCGTAAATCACTGGGACGACTTGTGTTCCCAAGCACGTGTTTGTAGCACTCAAGAGCAGCAAAACCTGCACGTGATTTCGCCCCGGTCTTTCGATATTCTCGCACGCTCATGATGCTGTGCTTGTCACCACCCTTTGTGGTTGCTGAACGGCACGTGTGTAATGCATCGCTGTTGCACCTTGCTTTTTTTGCTCAGGAGGGCGTCGTTTCCGAGAATTCGAAGTAGTTTTTTTCGGCATTGGATCTTGTTTTTGTCGTTTCCCACCCTGCCGGAACGATTGTGTTGTGCGCATGACATCACGTGGCCTTGGCGTGTCTCGTTTTGCAAGTTGCCTCTCGGCGGCTAGAATTTGGCGTGTGGCTCTGTTGGGGACTCGGGAGTTTACAGAGTGTCGTGGAAACACATGAGACTAGAAATTTATGCGGGAAGACCAACGTCCAGTTCGTTCTTGTTTTTATAGCACTTCCGCCAGGCGGGAGTTGGGCGTTTGACGGAGCCTCCCTCTTGTTGCTACTATTGTGAGTCGATGTTACCATTTTCTGTCAACATCGATAAAATTTTATTGTTCGGGGAAAATGAGTTGGTGCCACTGCATAGACGCCGAATAGTTATGCACAAGAAAGTTTTTCACTACATGAACGAATCAGATTTCAGCAAGTCTTGTCGAGCTGTGCCGGGTTGGCTCTTCTTCTATAGTTGTGCGCGTTGCACTCATGATCGCCCCCGTCTAGTCTACAGTCCCCTTGTTCCCTTCCGTCGACATTGTCAGGGACAAGTGGCCTGAATCTATTCTTGACCAAACTCTGCGTTTTTGGCGAAGATATAACTTCGAAGGAAGGCGTCGACGAGGAGATGGACTTCTGAGCCTTCCGCGAGGTGATGAAAACCGAAGCACCGCAGGATGCAGCTCAGTATGCCCTCGGCTGATGCACGTATGTAACACCACAGAACGGACGGTGTTGTCGAAGCATTCCTTAGAATAGGCAGAAAAAAAACAGGTTGCCGTCCCTATGCTCACTCGAAGGCTTGCAGCGCTTATTATTCATGGGACAACAACCGTTAAGCCGGCATGTGGCGCCATGAGCCTAGAATTCTTGTCCATGGGTGTGCGTGTGTGTTTAACTTCCTCTGGTTCTCTTGGCGTACACCAGAACATACAAGGTGATGATGGTGGTGCGCACATCGCTTATGGAGATCACCCTTGTTGCTGTCAACAACGCACTGTACCTCCCACCACATAAAAATAAAACGTCTGCCAAGCATTCTTGCCAAGCATTCTTTGGTTCTGTCGTGCCAACGGGCCCTTGGCACTGCCGTAGCTCCACGGACTCATGCAAAGTCTGGTGACGAATAGGAACAAAACAATTGGGGTTCCATGTAGTGATTGTTTTCGCTATTCTGAAGCCCACTTTACAAGGGGAGCTTTTAGCTTTTCTGTTGTGGCTACAAGTATCGAATCACCACCCCATCACATTATTGTTCGGTTAACCTCACGGGGGCGGATGGACAAAATGTGATCATGGTGTTTTCGTCTTTTCCACAGCGGCGTAGGCTGACAAGGCCAAAACCCGGCACTTCTTTGCGAACCGCGTGCAGCCTCATTACTCTCATTGTCTGAGGAGATACGACGGGGTTCAGATTTGGGCGTGACTACCCCCGGCATCTACCAAGATACACCAAACAAAGTGCACTAATAGCATCATTTCATTGGTAGCGGTTACCGCAATCGATGCTCATTATAGGTATAGACTACAAAGACACAAACGAACAAACATGCCTTGCTGTTTTGCTGCGCGGCTGTCCACGGATGGTTTTCACTGTCTCCTTTCCAGTGATTCTGCAATAATAATACTCGAAAGACGTCTAGGGAAGCACCAAATCACTCCCATTCGCCGGACAGTCGCGGCGTCCAAACCTTGAGCTTGAAAAAAGCCGCACGGACACCTGCCGGAGAACAATATTATTACTAGGGGGAACGAACGTGGATGCCCCCACCCCCACAGAACGCCGCCTAAGTTTTCTTGGCCCAAACAGAATAGACTAATACCACCTTTAGAAAACAGGGATGTTCGGTATCCATTCTCGAGTTTCTCTCTCTCCGTTGTCGCCACCTGAGGGGTTGGTCAACAGTCACGGGTTGTTGGCACCCACGTCCCTCGCTAAGATGCACGGGCACACTCAACAACCGCTAGGAGCCACTCCAGCAGTACCGCTGCGGTAGCGTTTGCCGATCTGACCTTAGGCGGCGTCGCTTCTGGAACACCTAGCCGTTTCACCAGGGCGAAGAGCCGTCGGCTGGGTATCCGCCGCAGGGAGATCGACGCCAGAATGTCTCTGAGGAGGTAGGCATCGCTGATGAGTGAACGTGGAGGACGGTGGTGATGTCGGTGCTTACCGTCGCGACTCTTCTGTGTGGGAGGGTTGTTGGACCGCTTCCACCCCAGAAGACAGGCGAGGCCCCCAAGGACTGTAAGGACAGGCTTGGGCGGGTTGCGAAGGTGATTAAGCTCGATCAAGGCGCCCACCGTAAGCCTCCGGAAGCACGCCTGCATCTTCATCTCCTGGGCTGAGGGGGTCATGGCTAGGTCAGTGGTGCAAGCATCACTAGTAACTGACGCGCCAGCAGGCGCCGCTGGAGCACGCGCAAAATCGTTGTGCTCTCTTGTGGGTTCTCGTTTACCTTTCGAGGGACCGGGTGGCGTGGTGGGCCGTCTTTCCGGTTGAAGCGGGCTCGATCCTGGTAGTTCTTGCCTCTGGTCGGATGCCGTTGGTGACGCATGACACCGAGGATTTTAAGGGCAGGGGCGGCCCTGCTTTGTCGGACTCCCGGGAGTCATACCATGGGTGTGACTCGGCGAATCGTTGCATCCGAAGAAGGGAGTACGGTTGTCCCAGGGCTCGATTTCGGGCTGTTGCTTTCCCACCATCCTCCCGCTTCGCCACACCCGGGAACTCGAACCACGAATTCGTGATCCTGCCGGATTGACATTGCTCACCGTCGACTCATCCGCCACTGGCTGTCCATGAGGGCCTTGCAGTTCTGGTGCCGGGGCCGCTTTACTCATAGCTCTGTTCAGTCGATACTCTCGCAGTTGTTTCTGGATCTCTTTGATGGCGACGGCCGTCCTAAGGGCAGTGACGGTCGGGAACTCGCTTCCCCGTTGGACACCGGCTAGATTGGCTAGCTTTTTCACCAAACGCGCCTCTCGCCCCCCGTCCTCGTCCTCGTCAATCTTCCTGGTCTTACGAGTCTTCCTCCCTGCCGCCACAAGACCTCCCCCCCCCCTCAATGTAGTTGTTGGCGCTGTCGCTGGACGCACACGAGTATGATGAACTACTTTGTTTGCGCCGTGGTCGAATACTGATTGCCTCGGCCTGAAAAGGAGTGCGGAAGACGCCGAACCCCCTCTATTTTTTCGATGCCTGGCATGTTTCGCAAGACAACCGCCACCTCCTGCTGGTGTTCCCCACCCAATGCTGCTATTTTTGGTTTTTGCATGGCCACCCGCGGCGAAACCCGCAGTAGCTGGCCTATCGTTAACGATGCTGGTTTCCCTCTTTGCAGCAGTTGCTGCGCAGCTTCGATTTGGGGTGGCCGCGGCGGAGCAGGGTCGAACCCCACGCCCGGGAGAAATCACCCGCTGCGCGAATGGCGAAGCCTCCAGCGCCAACACGTGGGCTTTAACGTATGCTGGCACTTTGCCGGCGGGGCCGTACCCTGGTTGGTACTTCTTCATGATTTTTTCCTTGTGCCTTTGAGCCGCTTGCCTCTGCAATTCGTCTGATCTGTCCTGCCTCTTATTTTCCCAGGCCTCCAGCTCCGACCAGGAAATTGTTTTCAGCTTGGCCTGTTTTTGTGCATAGGTCGACAACATGATATCCTTCTAGCTGGGTATGCAAGGGCGTGCCACAAACGGGCCAGGCTTCACGGTTGGTTCTGACAACAATGTGCTCGTTCCTTTTTATTCGTCAGCCTATTTCGCGCGGCCGATCAATCAAATAAGCAGCACGCGGCGGAAGTTGGTGTTGGTGTTGTTACCCTTTTCATTGGTCAGCCAACTTCGCGCCGCTGATCCAATCAAACAACAGAAAACAAGCACGCGGTGGAAGTCAAAGCAAAGCGGCCGACGTCAAAGCGAAATGGTCGGAAAATATATTAGGAGAAACAAATGTGGTGGTATCCTTTCGAAAAATAAAAAATATATACTAGTAGTATATATATCGACGGTTACGTTTTTTCAGGGGGTCCGTGAATGGAAAGGGGCTGTCAACCATCGATCCAGCGCACTCTGCGTGGTATTTGTTACCTCAACCAACCAGCAAGCAACCCTCGCACTGCTGTAGTACTGCCTCGCTGCTCTTCTCCGTGCGGAAGAGGGCGACAACACCGAGGTTAAACCACGGGTCTCGTGCGCGGGTCGAGGCCCACTTCACCATGAGCTCACGAAAGAGGATGAGCATCGGGAACTTTAATCTGCCTAAGTCTAGCCCCACGGAAGCCGTTAAGAGTAATAAAGCCACCAAACGGCGTTCCTCGATCTCGTCGTGGGCGGTGGGTATTTCGGGGGCGTTGAACCGATCGCTTCAGTCAGCCGCGGCCACGGCTGATAGATTCGAGAGGAGGCTATTCGCAGAGTATGACGAGCAGATGGATGAGGATGGCAGCGACGCGTATGGGATGCTGTGCGCGCAGCGGGGACAGGGGCAGCGGGCGGAGTTTGAAAACCGGTGAGGAACGAACTGTCAACAGCTACAGCCGCTGATGCTCCAGTGAAGAAAACTACTTACACGCAAGTTGACCTCGCACGGATGCCGAAACTTTCGTCTGCGGCTGGCTGGGCATGCCCTGGTAGCATACACAAGCTGGGCGCCCAACTTGGGCATACGCGGGCTCGGTAGTAAGGCTCCGTTGAGCTCGTAGCTGCGCCGCTTATGTTCAATTCGGGATGCGGAGAAGATTTTGCTCGTTGTCTTTCCACGGAAGGAGCCGCACCGCGTCCTTACAGCTACTGGTATGTTAATAGAAGCATGAGCACGTGTGTGCCCACGAAGGATTACGGTGTGTGCACAACTGTTAGGGTGTTTGATCGCTAGAGAAACGCTTCGGTTATTTCAAAGATGTAGGCGAGGGAAAAGCGTCAAGACACTTGTGCATGTTTGAAGCGTCGGAAAAACCAAAACGGAAACGTGTTTTGAGAGGAGAGAGGAGGGTTGTTGCCCCCATTATGTATATAGGTGAATGGAAGAAGTGGCCACTGACCTTCTTTAGTGACGAATACAAGCATCAAACGAGCCCCGCCCCCCACCCCCCCAAACTGCCTACTGCCTTGACCGATACCATTCATCAGGTACAAGCACCTCGTGGAGACGCTGGGCGACCTTAGCCTTGCGGCCGATATTGACCCCGAGGCGGCAGCCACCCTCCTCGACGACAGCCGTGCCACGGAAGACCTCGACAACATGCTCGCGCTGCTGAGGGCAGAGGAGCGGCAGAACTCGCGTGCGGAACAGTCTCGAGGCAGCGGCGGCGGGTCCTCCGGCGGTAAAGGCGGCTGTGCTGAAGGCAGCGGCGGTGGCGATCTGCTGGCAACTCCGTGCCTCGAGTTCTTGCTGGAGGAGCGGATCGTCAAGCTGCTCTGCGAGCTGGGCGCCGCAGACAGACCGGCGGGGACCCTGGCTCTCGTCCTCGGGGCGATCGCCTCCCTGCTGGGCCAGGTGAGTCACCCTTTGCTGCCGTCGCAGGCGGTCCACGGCCCCATCGGCAACCTGGTCGCGGCCGCCGGAGCGCACGGACAGAGGTTGGAAGGGGCCGGGGGAACCAGCAGGGCGGGGAAGGGTCGACCGCAGCTGGGCAGCGGCCAGCGTCGAATGCTGAGCAGCAGCAGCAGTAGCAGCCGAGCATCCTCCTCCGGCGTTGCGCAGGGGAGGGCGCGGGCGCGAGTGCAGGCGAACCTCGCGCGCCTTCTTGGAGCGATATGGCGAAAGCTGAGAGAAGAGAGCGCATTGCTCGATTTCTTCCTACGCGCGGACGGTACCCCAGACCCGCGAAGTGATGGAACGACGGCGACGGGGGGGGAGGGCGCTCTGCGGTTAGACGTGTTCGACAAGCTCCTGCCGCTGCTGGAGCTACCAGGGAGGGCGGGCCAGCAGGCTCGGGAGGCCTGTCTGGTGGCGCTGAGTGTCAAAGACCCGCGAGTCGGCCGGTACATCGCCAGCAGCACGCAGCTTTGCGCGCAGCTCGCGCAGACCCTCACTTCCCGATACCTGGCGCTCTACGACACCCTGGAGGAGCTCCAGGTGGCGGCGGAGCTACCCACGGGGAAGGAGGAGGGCGGGGCGGGGGGTGTCGCGGGGATATTGACGCAGCAGCAGCCCGAGCGGGCGGAGGCGACGTTCACGGAGGCGCTGTCGCTGTTTCTTCAGCACCTGCGGTTCTGCAACGCGGTTGGGCTCGTTGCGGCGGACACGCAGGCGTGCTTGCGGCCTCCTTCGGAGTCGAACCCCAACAACAATAGCGGCGGCGGTTCTGCCGTAGGGACCGTCGCTCCAGAAGAAGGCAGTGACGTCATCACGGCGCGCGGGGAAACGCACGCAAATCGCGACTCCGCGAAACCAGACGACGGAGTAGCGGCTTCGTTAGCTTCTCAGGTGCGACACTTGCTCCTGAGCAACGCCATCGGCCCGGCGCTCACGAGCGCCCTCGAGACTCGAGCTAGGTGGACGACAACGATCGTGGCGCGAACGATGACGGAGCTCTCGTCAGGGGCGGAAGGGTACGGCGTCGCGGTGGCCGGGCTTGCAGCTTCTGTCCAAGAGGGTGGCGGGGGCCGCCGACCACTCGGGCCTCTCGTCGACACGGTTTCGACGTTCCTGGTCGGGCGAGAGTTGTCGGTGTTCAGCAGCGGCAGCAACAACAGCAACAGCAGCAGCGGTGGTAGCGTGCCAACATCCCCTTCCAGGAAAGGCTGTGCAGCGGCGGCGGCGGCGGCAGCGCCACTGACGAAATCGCGATCGCGAGCGGGGTCTCTGTCAGGCTCGGGCGGGTCGTCGATGGTGCTGATGACGAGCCGGTGCTCGGGGTCGATCGTGTGCTTGCGTGACGTGCTGCTTCGGCGGCTGGAGCCGTCCTCGCCGTCCCAGCTGCGCGTGTCCACGCTCGAGCTCCTGGGGTCGTTGGCAGAGCTTCGGGATGACTGCGTCCTCCTCGACCTCGTCTTACGCCCGGGGTCAGAGCCGCTGACACCGGCAGCAACAACAGGGGACCAACGTCATCCGCGGAGCGAGGAAGGAGGAGGTGGACAGAGGTGGAGCGTCGAGGCTCTTCTTGACGACGGGCAGGGCGCGCTGGAGGGGCTCCGTGTTTCCCGCGCCATGGTGGACTCGTTCGGGTCTGCGTTTGGCGGGTCACCGATCCACCCCAACTTTCGCCTGTTCTCGGCGTCTTCGCACCTCAGCTTGGAAGGCTACCTCGTTGCGGCGCAACAGAGGCAGATTCACCAGCTAATGGAGGGTGCCCGAGGGGGATGCTCGTCGGGGGAGGGGGGGAAGGGGGGCGGGGGGGCGGCAGCAGACGTCGATACGGACATGCTTGACATGGTTGTCGGCAGCGATGGAGGGAAGGTACTGGAGGCAGTGGCGGCGGTGGCGGCGACGGAGGAAGGGGAAGAGGGAGGGGCAGCTAGTAGAGGCTGCAATCGCGGTGCCTCGCAAGGGGGGGGGTTTGGGGAGTTCGATGCCGCTGCCTTTGTGCGGAAGCACGGGGACAATCTAGCTAGCGCGGCCGATGCCGATGGCTCTTTCCTCCACGCCCTCTTCGATTGCCTCGAGGTGCGTCGAGTGTGCGGCTGACAAGCAAGGGGGCGAAGGCTACCGGGTTGTTTTGGGCGGCTCGACGCCTTGGGTGTGTTCTCTTGAATGGTTGCGCGATCAGACGTGCTACCGAGTTCAGCAAAACGATTTTGAGGAGATAAAATTAGTGGCACGCGATAGGTGTCTCATTCGGCGTGACGTAGCCGGACCTCCATGTGCTTCTGGTTGGCCTAAGTAGCGTGCTGCGACACCCTGTCGATGAGACAAGAAATCTGAATCTTGTTGGTCGTACAGCAAGAAGGCTGGCCGTATCTGGAAATGTCGTGCTCGAACGCCGTACTCTAGCATTGCCCATTCGTCCTAAGGGCGGGCCACATCATTCAGGTCACCAATCAGCGCCGAAATTGCTGCCCCGTGGCTCATCCTCCACGGCACGACCATCAGCGGTCCTGTAGTTGGAGCCTCCCGAAGACAAGAAGTCTCCGATATCACGCTGCTCGTATTTCTGCGCACCTTGTCCTTAAATATCTTTCTTCGGCATGCCGCTTTCTTCCCTTATGTACATGTACATCTGTGCACACGTACACCTTCCCCGCTACAAACGGTGAACACTTGACACGTGCCGGTCCGCACTCCCCCTCTCCCCCCCCCCGCCCGTGACTCTTCCTCGACCAGGCGGTCTTCGAGAGGAGCCTGGAGGAGAACCTGGAGGTTACCGGAGTGCTGAGCAGCCTGTGCCTGGCGGCCACCGCTGCCGAGGTGTCCCCGGTGCGTCGCCTCCTGTTGCTGCTGCTCTTTGACGGCACCCAGGACGCTCCTTTCCGCAGGTGAGTTGAGTCGTGACGTTCAACAAGGGGCTGCTGGTTGGCTGCTCCTTCCGGGTTGGCACAATCTGAGGATGACTACTCTTCTGCGCTCTCGTTGTCCAGAAGTATAACAGTGCTGCTCCATGTACTGTGGGAGGCGCTGTTTCACTCGGGTGGCACAGACTGAATGACCAAGTCATTCTGTACTTAAAATAGTGCCGGTGTCCGGTATACTGCCGGTCAATTCTCTGGGCACGCACCGGCTCTAAATAGGGCCACCCAATCTACTGGACGTATCTACGTTGTTCACTTCCACTTTCGAAGTGGTACGGCGTTCAAACAATGAAGACAATGGCACGGCTGTCTGTAAGCTTCAGAAGAGTCTCGATAATTGCAGGTGTACGGACCCCTACATCTCATCCCCACACTTTGGTGCCATGCATGTCCTCGTCCAACGGACCGGTTGTTTGAGCTGCGTTGTCTTCGTTTCCCGATATGGCAGCTCAGCCTCGTGCAACAGCTCGGCTAATTAGTTCCTGTCCCTTACCCAGCCTTGTGGCGTCAACACCTTTTGTACCGAACGAACGCCGTCCATTTCGCAGGCAACACAGTTGGTTCGGCCTGTCGCGTCGGCAGGTCAAAAGGCGCCCACTACCGCTGAGGTTATATCGCTATCGGGTCCAACTTTGACGCCTATTTAGTCTTTCGCTGTTGCCTTCGGGACTCCTGTCCCCCCGTGTCAATCCTCTGTGTCTCATTTCGTTCTGTGTTTCTCATCCACTCCGCGTTGCTTTCCCTTGCCTCTCGCGGCGCCCCCCATTCGGCCTCCCCTTGCTCTTTCGCAGCATGCGGCGGATATTGGAAAAGCTGTGGGCCTCCGCCCAGGAGCGTGTCGCCTCCCTGCCGAACGCCCGGCGTCTGTTGGCGCAGGCCCGAGCCTCTCTCGGCATGCCCGCGATCGGCGATTCAGAAGAGACGGCCGATGTCGCCGGGGTGACGGGACCGGCGCGGAGGGGGAGGCAGGGCAGCCGGGGCATGAGAGAAGAGCTCAGCAATTCCAAAAGGCGGCAACAGGTTCAAGGTGGTGTAGATGGCGGCGGCGGTGTGGGCGTGAAGCGGGGGGCAGGGGACGCCCGCAGCGCGGACGCGCCAGGTGGCGAGGGCCGCGCCACCGATTCCTCCACACACAGCAGTGAGCAGCAGCAGCAGCAGCAGCAGCAGCAGCAGCAGCAGCAGCAAGAGCCACAATCGTCCACGTCCCACTTTTTGGGAACGTACGTCTTCTTGGAGGAGTTTCTCAAGGAGCTCTTCTGCGCGCTGTCCGCCAAGAACGGCGTCGAGTCTGACGCGCAGGGGCTGTCCGAGTCTCACCGCCAGGGGTCGGCGGAGCTGCACACCGGGATGCTGTCTGTTGACGGAGAGGCTAGCCCAAAGCCGCCCGGTGCGGGCCGGGGGGGGGAACGGGGGACGGGGGGCGGCGGCGGGAGGGGGTTTAGTGGAGAGGGGGAGGCCGGGGCGGGTGGGGAAGCAGAGAACGAAGAGGACATCGACGAGCTGCCGACTTCGCTGGATGAGCTCCTCAAGGAAGCTGCGTTTCCCACGTTTGTGTCGCCTCCCGTCTTGTGTTGAAAACCTGGCCTTCCGTGACTCGATTTGGCTGAAGGAGTTCTGGTCGCGTAACGCGCGAATTGTCTGTAGAATTGTAATACTTGTAAGTGGAGTGAGTGGGGGTGGGCGGCGGAAGTGAGAGTATGTGTCCCCAGGATCTCCCTCCGCGCCGTGTTAGATGTACATTAGGACCCCCTGTGACTTGTCGAGTGCCCTTTATCGTTCAGGCTTGTGAACTGTTATCCTCGCTTTATGCACCCTTTGATACAGAAGTCGTCGAAAACGATTTTCTGAGTTGCTCGGTGGTGTTCTCATGTTGGGTGCACCGGCACCAAATCATGCCAAGACATATCATACACACCGTGTGCGTTTTTTTTGGTAAGAACATTTGCCGCCGGATGTTGTAGCTGACAAGATTACGAACAAACGACGTGATACCAAACTCGACAAAAGGGTCAGCATATCCTTCCGGAGGATTGGTGGAGGGGGGTGCTTGGGTAAACCACAGCAACCGTTTTCGTTTGCTCCACGCTTTCAGCTGGGGTCGTTGCCATGCTCGGGCCAATTGTCCCAGGGCAAACAGCGGCCAGAGCTAGTAGCGTCCAGCAAAGTTTTCCTGGTAGACCATGAGTAACGGAGTAGTAAATCACCTTAGTGAGCTTGATCACCGGCTTGTTCTGATCACTTCGTGTCTACATATCCCGCATTTCGTACCCACACCTACATCTTGAGGACCTAGGTAGTCGGCACAGCAGTTTCCTGACGAGAACTCGGTCTTTGAGTTCTCAAAAAAGTAAATTTACGTACGTGTCAGTAGCTCGTGATCTCATTGGTGGACGTGCGTGAGTCCGTTCCGTTCTGATGTATGTATGCAAGGCGTGCGGTGGTTGCTTTTTTTCTTGGAGTTGCAATTGCAATCTCTTGGCGGTCTTGGAATCGGTCCTGGTTTTTTCGTACTTCTTTCGGTAGCCGATGGTACGCATACAAACGATTTGGGAGACGCGAAGGCTCACACGACGCATCGCCGCCCTGCTTGCATGACAATCAACCCCAAAGCTGGCAAGGACAGGTCGGTCTCACCTTCACCCTTTTGGCGTTTGCCCTCTGGAAGACGGCTTGTCTTCTTGCCGTGGTGCTCTTGCCACGCATGAATGAATAGTACGATAGTTCCGTGTCGTGCACATGCTATTGACTACGTTGAGGAGGAGGGGGGGGGGGGGGGGGGGGGGGGGGNGGGGGGGGGGGGGGGGGGGGGGGGGGGGGGGGGGGGGGGGGGGGGGGTCGTGTTGTTTTGTATTCTACTCGTAGTGTGTGCGTTGGTGCGGGTTCTGGAAAGCGTGTCTGCCTGCACAGCTAGATGTGTATCTTCACGCGCAGAGGTTGGTTGATATGGATAGGCGCCACCACTCAGTCTTGTTGCGATTAGTTTTCCGGTTGGGAAGGTGATGCTGCTGTTGCGGCAGTTTTTGTGGTGTTGTATTTGCGGTGACGCACGTCTATCTCTGCTTCTCCTCTTGGCCTGTGTGCCTGCGTGTACCATAAAGGTATTTCGCCTTTGCTCCTTCCCTCCCTCCCGTGGTTTCTTGTTCCCTTTTTTGCGGTTGTTTCGTCGCTCCGGCTGGAGAAACCGGCCTTGTTGTTTTGTTACACCCACCGCCCATTAATTGATTAATATGTGCCCTCGGAACCCTGATAGAGTTTTGCTTTGAGACTGAGGAGGAGGCCTGCTGCTGAGCGTGGTTCATAAGTGTCGTTGGTTCCTCTGCGATGAACACGGGGTCGGTCGGGGATTTGTGATTTGATACTGCTGTATGCATACGTAGTAGACATGTTGAGGGGCAGAAAGAACGAAAGGTAGCTACATTAACAGATGAGTGAAGCCCACACACCGTAGGAGGGCTGGGTGGTCGATAGTCTCGGCAAGGATGCCGGCGGAACCCCCCCCCCCCAAAGGTGTTTTCTAGCAACGAGATCCGGTAGTGCGTGTGTTGCGCCGCGCTGTCCAGAGACAGATTCGCAGAGTGGGTGGATGGGTGGCAGCACCTACACTTCTCCCATCCCACGAGAAACTCTATCAAAGCTATCCCTACATAGAACGTCGACCGAAGAAATGAAACTTGGTCCTTGAGAGGAAACCGGAGATCGCCAACCCAATATTCTACGAATTGCGGAATTCTGCCCAGCTGGGGTGAAAAAGTGCGGTCGAAATCGTGGAGCCGATTTTTTGTTTTAATCCGCAACAAACTGAAGCCCTTGAGGGGCTTCCAAGAAAAGAGCAGCACAAAAAACATGAAATATCGCTGGTGTTCATGTGCGATATTGAGAAGCGGTGGCATTCGGCTGATTTTGCTACCGCAGCGTCCAACACCTCAACGTTCAGTTCCTCGTGCGGCAACAAATTACAGTAGGTGTTGGATCTTTCGCTCAAGTGCGTGCGATACATAGGTTGTTCGCCACGCGTCGTTCGTTCCACCGAAGATCCGAACAGGATTCACCTCCAACAGGCTGCAGACTGCAATCAGGCCACAAGAGGTCCTCCGACTTTGCACAATGGAGACCTCTTCTTCTTAATCTACCAGAGGTCCTCCGACTTTGCACAATGCGGACCTTGTCTTACCCCGCAACAAAACGTTCAGTTTCTCAACACGCAACAAGATTTTGTTTTTTTTCTTGGTGTACTGTACATACAACCTTGACGTTTCCTGGACAAGCAAACTCCCACAAGAGGGTGGCCTCGACATTCGACCCATAGACAAACAAACGCAAACTCGTGGAAAGATTACGTCAAAAACAGCAGAGTCTTGAGTCATCGGGTACTCCCGGTGGCGGGGGTTGAGGACGAAACACTGGCCGCGCCAGCGTACACGAATGGAGGGGGATGGGGGAGGGGGGGTGTACTCATAGTCGTGCATGCCGTAGTCGTTAGACCATTGACCTCGCATCCCTACAAAGCCGGGACGGAG